AATTATGATAACCTACATACATTATTTAGCATTTATTATAATTAAAACCCAATTGCCATTTATTTGCCCAATGAACTAAATGATCGAAATTCTTTTGTAAATCAGAAGCACCCTCTTCACAGCCAACAGTATCCAAGACTTTAATATCATCTGCATATTTAAGTAATTTATTGACAATTCCTTCACCTATTTCAGTTGTGTAAATCAAAAAAAAAAAACAAAAACAAAGGTCCTAAGACTGAGCCTTAAAATACACCACTCGTGACATTAATCCAGTTTGACTGAACTCCATTTATAACAACCTTCTGCTTTCCATCCAGCCAATTTCTGTCCAATTAGCTAACTTATCCCTACACCTAACTGTTTTTACAAACCTGTTATATGGCACCATGTCAAATGCTCTCTGAAAATCCAGATACACCACACGTACACCCTTACCCTCATCTACATAATCAGTAACTTTTTCAAAGAATGTCAAAATATTTTTAAAGCAACATTTTTCCCTTAGGGAAACCATGTTGATTATCCAGTAAAATTCTAAACTTAGTTAATTACTTTGCAAAGCATTTTTATCAGACTTGCCAAACCTTTTCCCACAACTGATGTAAGATTACTAGGCCTATATTTACTGGAACAATTTTTATCACCTCTCTTAAAAAGAGGAGTAACATTAGCCAACTTCCAATCCTCTGGCACCTGTCTACTATTCAAGAACTTATAAAAAATGTAACAAGTGGCTAACATATACAATTCTAACCTCCTTCAAAACCCTTGGGGAAATATTATCTGGCTTAGAAGACCTATTGTTCTTTACACTTTCCAATTGTTTCTTAACAAACTCAGAATTAATGTGATCATCTTGTTCGATCTTTTTTCCATCTATTAACTGTTCAAGATGAGAAATATTGCTTAAAACTGAAGAGAAAGCAAAATGTAATAACCCAGCCATCTCATAATCACCAGATACGAGCCTTCCTTTATCGTACTTTAAAGGTTCTAACATTTTGTTTACCTTTAATGTATTTTAAGAAATCCTTGCTGTTAATTTTTATATTTTCAGCCAAACATTTTTCATATATCCTTTTCGATGTCCTAATTTCTCGTTTGTTGATCTTCTATAATCTTCTAAATCTCATGACATACCAGTCAATTTCATTTCTTAATGTGTATATCCGGAATGGGTGGGTCAGAATACCTATCTACGATATACTGTGTGTGTCACAAAATTCTTACTGTCAGGATTCTTCGTGCTTGTATCTGGACTGGGTTTGCCAGAATACATATCCAATATATATTGTCTGTGGGTGACATGATTCTTACCGTCAGGATTCCTATTGTGGATAGCCTGGCAGTTCTGTGTCAGGATTCTTTATGTAGGTCCAGGAACTTTATATCTAGGGTTTTGTGCTGTTCATGTAGTAAATGTTATGTGAACCAAGATCAATATTTTACAATAAAATGTTCTGTGGGTCAGGATTGATAGAGTGGATACAAAAGCTTTCCATCTTAGGCGACCATACAACATCATCATCTATTTGGTCATTTGGAACTTCTGATTAAAAATAGTTTCCTTATAAAACAAAATCTCCTTAATTTAAATATCAACTCAACTTCTCTGGGGTTAAACTTATTTTAACTACCTATGTAGGCACATTTTCTCGTTCATTTACTGGTCTTTAAACATTCCCTCCTTTGAGCCTGAATTTTTCCATTACACATGTTTATAATGACACACATACACAAAAATTCAACATTCATGTTGTTATTAGAATTTATTAGGGATGCACGGGTACCTGGCCAGATATTCAACCCCGACCGGGTATTGGGCTACCCGGTAATACTCGGCTCCGGCCGATGGTCGACGTTAGGCATCTAAGCCCTAATTTTTGTTGCAACTAACGCGGTACTGAAAGTTACAGTTAATAATTGGTTTAGTTATAGTAAAACTGTTCCGAGCAATAAAAACTGACCGCCCACTGAAAGTCGGAGACTCAAAGAACAATAGGAGTTAATAACAGGCATGGCTTGAGAAATGGATTTCTGGGGAAAGTGGGGGGTTTTGATAACAATAGGTGTTAGGGTTTGAGAAGTTGGGGCTAGGCATTGAAAGTTGAAAGTAAAACTTGAATGTTCTGTTGGTGATTATTGGGTTAAATATAATAAACGTCAATTTTGTTTTTGTTTCTAATTTTTGTGTATGTTGTTTGTTGTTGTTGTTTTGGGGAGGGGGCAAGAGGAGAACCCGATCCCGGTAGAAGCTTAGTGACCGGGTGCCCGGACCCGGTATTCGGCCCAAATTTTACTACTCGTGCATCTCTAGTATTTATTGCTTTGTACTTGCAGTACCAATTTGTCGAAGCTGGAATATGTGTATTTCAAAATGTTCATTAAATGTGTTATTATATGTTACTTTTGTGGTTGTGCTGCTCATTAACAAGATAGTAATAAGCAATCACGAACAGGAAAATGAATGCGTGAGAGCTATTCCTTTACCAGTTTTACTGGATTAGTATTTATCATATTCAGAAACCAAAGCAAAAAGCTCTGACTAACCCTGCCAGGCGCGCGCATCAAAGCGCGTGGGAAGTTACAATAGGGTTTACCGCTTTTAAAAGCAGTGGGTCACTTGAGAAGCGGGAACGAGGTGGAAAGGTAGTTTTCTTAGAGCGTGTTATCAGATATTCTCCAGCAACTTGCCTCACTTCGCGAGGTATGTAGCATATCTTGAATATTAATTGTAAGGTAGCTCTAGTTCAGGTTCTTGTTCTCTCTGTTTATAACTCATGCCATTTCTAATTGTCTATATGGTTGTGTTCTAGTTTTTTATTATTGTAAACTGTGTGTTCGACCTTTACAATAAACAGAAAGACAGTCAACAAAGAAGTTTGTACTCGTGAAGACTGTGAAGTAATGTAGGCCAAACTCGTGAAGGAGAACCGTGTTGATGAACATCAGGTGTATTGCAGTAGCTACTGTGAAGAAATACGTTTAGTACACTCGGTATTATACGATGAAGAATATTTATCCATACGTGTTGCTGTGTACGTACTTTTACCTAGCTGTGCTGGAGGAATGCCGAGGTAAGTGCAAAACCAAAGTAAGGTAATGTGTAGTTTCTAATCTAAGGCATATTCGTTACCACTCTTAACGAAGCAATATACAATAATCACTAGATATAAAACAGTACAGCTGGTAGTAACTGCATAGGCTCTAAATCATTAAATGTACGGAAATTATGTTAACTTTGGCATTTATTATTGAATGGTGTGGTGAGACTCGAGCCGGACCTGTATCGCTCTGCTGTGATACTCCATGCGTGCTGTAGTGTAATGTTTCTTCGTAGGCCTAATGGAATTTATTCTGTTAACAGCTATAGCCTATATCAGAGGTTTATGGCTCTTTTTGCCATTTAAAAAGGAAGTAATTGTATTAACATATTTTCCAGACACTCTGTATATTCAATATGCTAAAATATTTTCATTCATTATCATTGCAAACTGAAGGGTGTGATGTTATTCGTTGGTGTTATTTACTAAGCTATCACATCTATCGTATATATTGTTACGTTTCTGGTCGTTAGTTAATTTTCCGTAAAACTATTTCCGAAGAAACTTTAGCGATACA